CGTTCAAAAGTTGAGCAAAAACTTTATTAAACTGTATTTAGCTAAATCCACGACCAAATATAAATAACTTCTGCTAGTTTAAAAACAACGAGAAGAAATTTGTAAATTTGAAATTTTGAAACTTTATTATTAAAAATACTAAAAAATACTTTAGACATATGTAAAGTATAAAATCAAACAGGGTTATAAAAGAATGAGAATTCAGTAATTCATATTCTTAACAGCGTTTTCTATTTATTTCAATCCTCACCAATGTTGAATTGACATCGCTCAATAAGGAAAATGAGTTTTTGCCACAAACTCAGATTTTTCAATTCAAATATCTTTGCAACTCGATTTCAAACATTATCAGGTTGCAAAGATAAAAGAATTGGTAACTTTGTGTCGACAACTCAGATTGTACTGTAGTTACCGACCCATGGGATTAGATTTATTCCAGATTACTCCTTTTTATTAAATCCTTTTAACAAAATTGTTGAATAACTTTATCTTGCGTGAAGGTAAGAATACCTGACTGCAATACACATTTTCAAAAATGCTATTAAGTGACACTTGAATAATGCGGAAACCGCGCTAGTATTAAATAATTGATGCCATTCTTATATCATCAGAAAAACCGTTTTTTTGAACAGATCTAGAACAAGAGCATGACGCACACACCTGCCCTTTACAGGAGGATATAATGTAGCAGGAAAATGATGTTTTGATCTTTCCTGCGACTGTAAATAGCATTTTGTTTGTCAGTTATTTTTACCCTTCGTTCGCACTCAACCCCATTTTGCCTCCCCCCCCACCTTTTACTGATATTTAACGGGTTTTCTTGTTTATGTTTGGTTTCTATATTTAACCCAAGCCACGCGGAGAAATCCGTTATCTCCGAACCCGGGAGCTGGGGAGCTGGCCGGCCAGCTCACAGGGCGTGGGGTAGAATGCGAACTAAGGGTGGAGCGAAATAGAGGGAAAAAAGGCAGTTGTGATTCAGCTCCCTTGAATTAAGGTTCCCTTGAAGAATTCCCCTAT